TTATGTCAGTTTTGATTCCTCAGTTTTGATTTCCATGTTTAGGCCAGACTTACAGAGGCTGAAGTCTGCTTATTTGATACAAAAACAATTATTCTAGCAACAGCACAAAAGGATCAATGAGAATGTTGCATTTTTTCTGATGTTGACCAAGACTGCCTGGCGTTGGAGGGGAAGTGTGTGTGGAGAGAGGAAGCCTGGATGTCTTTCCTTCGCGAGGCAGCCCCATTTCTCAAGCCTTGCAGCCTTCCTCCCAGCCCCGAGGCCTGATTTACAGACCCAGTGGGGGATTGGCCTCCGATGCTTTGCATGGTTGTGAGTTCCTAATTTTACTGAGTGCAAAAACATCGGATGTAGGTGCACAATTTATTATTTTTTATTTTTTTTTCTGAGGGAAAGATTATTCACTTGTATATTCAACGCTAGTGCTTTTTGAACCACCCATGCAAGCATGCAAAAGGCTCCTTAGAGCAGTGCAGCAACAGGCTTAGGGAGATAAGCCTTCTTCTTTTCCTGTCAGGAGGTGCCTCCCACCGCTTTAGTGAAAGCAGAGGGGAAAGGATGCAAGCAGCAACTGTCCCCGTTTGCTTGCCCTGCACAGCAGTAGCTGGTCCAGAACCTTGGGCTTCCTTGCACACAGATTTCCTTCTCCATTGGACGAGCAGGATGCAGCCAGTCCCAAGCAAACACAACGGCCTCAGAGCAAACAGCTCCCACTTGGGAACCCTACCGGCAGCAGCAACTCTTACCTGTGAGACGGAGGAGCAGGCCAAGATGCAGGATTACCCCAGATGGCTGAGGCTAAGATGATATTTTCTTGCTGAGCCACTTCTTGCCTTTCGTAACGCCGATGAGCTAATAGGCTTAACACTGATAAAGTAATAGGCTGAGTGTGCTGTAATGCTACCTAAGACGGCTAAAGCTTCAAAATGTAGCCTACTAGGTAAATGTTGATCTGGTTACCTCCAGCTCCTTTCTCCAGTTCTCCAGTTTCTCCAGTTTCTCCAGAACTCCAGTTCATGCATTCAGTTGGTCAAACCAAAGCCCTGTGATGCTGTCGTGAGCCAAGACGGCATGGGGGTGGTGAAACTCTGGCACAGGTTGCCCAGAGAGGTGGTAGATGCCCCATGCCTGGAACCATTCATGGTTGGGTTGGACAGGGATTTGAGCAACTTGATCTAGTTAAAGATGTCCCTGCTTGTTGCAGGAGAGGTTGGACTAGATGACATTTAAAGGTCCAACCTTCCAACCTAAACTCTTCTATGATGCAATGATTGTATGATTCTACAATTCTATGCATCGTGTCTTCAGGAGGATTTTGTACCGTATTGCCTGCCACAGGGTAAAAACAGATTAAGATATGCAGAAGTGATAACACAGCCTTTGTGGAGTTTTCCAACCATGCTGAACTGATACAACTGAAAACCATGCCGTCTGCTCATCAAGACACAGGCCATCTGTTTCTGTGGTAATTATTCTCATCAGAGGTTGGACTAGATGACATTTAAAGGTCCAACCTTCCAACCTAAACTCTTCTATGATGCAATGATTGTATGATTCTACAATTCTATGCATCGTGTCTTCAGGAGGATTTTGTACCGTATTGCCTGCCACAGGGTAAAAACAGATTAAGATATGCAGAAGTGATAACACAGCCTTTGTGGAGTTTTCCAACCATGCTGAACTGATACAACTGAAAACCATGCCGTCTGCTCATCAAGACACAGGCCATCTGTTTTGTTTATTACAGGAACTGTAACAATAAGCTCTGCAGGTGTTGTCATAATACAGATTATCATGTTTGTATTTTGATCTTGTAATTTTGGGTACATCTTGTCTGTTCTTTTATCAAATTGACTTCCAAACCTGTATGTGATATTTATAGCTTTAATCTTCCATGCATTTCCCCTTTGTAAAACAAATTTTTATTACTTATGGTTTCAGATTACTCCCTAAGTCAAGAGCACATATATTCTTTAGGTATATATTTTTAATCATGATAACATAGTTTTCTGCTGTTACTGTGGTTTTACCAGCTACTATTTTTTTCCCATTTTTTAAAATCCATCTATTTCTTATTTGCCTCCCTAGATGTTTAACATTATTTTGTTCTATGGATATCTCTTCTCTTTCAGTAAGTTCAGGCTCTTTTGATGTAGAAATCTTTAAGACTGGCTGGATCCTCAGAAGAAATTGCTTCTTTTGATACATGAATCAAAGTACTAATAAAATAATGCCTCCAATATTGTATTATTTCCACAAGGTCCACTGTTGCTGTTGGTTACTAATAGGAGAGAATTATTGCATTTTGTCACATTCCCATGTTTTTATACATCCTTTGGAATGTATAGATGCCATAATATTATGTTACTGAATCAGGAAAACAAGTCAATTACAAGTTATAGCCCCAGAAATCTTTTGCTTAGTTTAATTTTGTTGTTTCTATCCCTTTAAGTTTTAGTTGCCTTATTCAGCAGATATTTCACCTTTTACATCACTGATTAAATTAAGAGGCAAATTAATTGAAGGGCTCTGACTGCTCTTGATTGTCAGCAATTTGGATGCTTATTAAGTGTTTTAAAGTATAATTAAAGATGTATTGCTTCACATCCAAGAGTCAGTAAAATATTTAGCACTTATGTCTTCTTAAATTTATTTAAGTATTATCACTTTTTCTGTAGTTCAAGAAGAGTTTTAAAGGCCGTATGCGTAATTTCCTCATTCTGAAAGAATGACTAACCACTAATTGCATTAAATATAGTCTTCCTCTTGCCTGTCTCTTATAATTAGAAAAACGAATTTGCCCTTACAAACTGTTATGTCTTTGCTTGTTCCTAATAAAAATATTACGTTGTCATCCACTATCTGTTTCAAAGGTTAAGAGAGACTGTGGATCAGAGGAGAGATCAGCTAATAAATGCTACAAATGCATCTGGAGTTTAGGCATTGAGCTGCACACTGCTCCGAACCCTTTTTCTCTCTTCTTTCTCCCCCAAATTAAAAACTTACCCTAGAACAAGAGCAGTCAGCCTCTTCCATAGTTTCAAAAATAGTCCAAAAGGAGTAGCCACACAAATAAAACTGGCCATAATACAGGAGGCCACGTAAACTGGTGTTTCTTGTACCGAAGCATGAGTTTATTGTGCTTTCCCCTTCTCCAGCATCTTTAGAAAAGTTTAACCATCATCATCCTCCACTGTCACCTTCCCCACAAGTCCTTTGGCTGTAATGACCAAGGAAGGGGAGGAGGCGTAAGTGATGAAAGAAAACTCCACAAGGCTCTTGGTGAGGAAGAGGAGACCATGCAGTAAGTCAGACAGTGTGACTGCACCAGCCCCGTTTTAAATCCAGAAGGAAAATCCTGGCAATTGTGGATATTTTTCACCTTTTTACACAACCATTTATTTGTGAATAGAAAGAAGAGAGATCACAGGCCCAATATGAGTTTAAAAAGGTGTCAGTGACTTATCCCTCCTTGTTTTTGAAGCTGTTATTACAAAATAATGAGATATGCTAAGAGCGATCAGGACACGAGGATTTCGACATCTTTCCCAAAACAGGCTGGCCTCTTTCACATTCAGTAAAGGCAATTTGGGGTTTGATGTTTGAAGAAGCGAAAGCAGAACTGGAGATTTCTGCAACTGATTTCTGTGGAGATGAATTAACCTCCCAGGGTTTATTTGCTTTAGTAAGGTCACCTAGGCCTCCCATTGAGTCAACAGAAAAACACATCGACCTCAGGTGTCCAGGTTCCTGGGACAAGGAGGAGCTGGTTGAGGATGCTGACTGCTTCAGGGTAGCCATCCACAAATTTGTCTTCCACCGTCCTATATCGTGCCAAGCCCCACTCACTGTGTTCTCAGGGTGCAAGAGGTGGGTGGGAAGGGAAACGTGCAGACACACTCCTCCTTCCCTGGCACTTGGCTGGTCGGAGGACACAAGCAGACGTGTTAGGCTAAGCAGTAATGGTGTCAGTGAAGCTTTCCTTGGTGGGTGGTGGTAACAAGGGGGAGGAGAGGAGGCTGGCATGACGTTGAGCCAGGGAAAGGGGAGAGAAGTGTTTCCCCTGTGTTTTAAAGTTCTTCTTGCTTCCCAATATCCAAATCACTCATTACACATATATGAATTGGCCACAAATTAATTTAATTTCCCCAAATCAAGTCTATTTTCCCCCCTGCCAGCAATTGGTAAGTGATCTCCCCATCTTTACCTCGACCCATGAGCTATCTTGTTTCTGGTTTTCCCATTTCCTTCTCTCATCTCTCTGGGGAAGGGGGGACTGGGGGTGGGAGCTTGGCTACCCGCCGCAGCTAACCCACCACAGAAGTCCAGTGGAACACAAGTTGTTCGTAAGCTTTGGGCTCAAGACCAAAGACAAACAACAAGAAGAAAAAGAACTAAAGGAATTTGGGCTGTCAGTCTCTCTGTTCACTTTGTGTCACTGACTACCTGTGCTTCCTCTCCATGTCTGTGCACAGAACTTCACATCAGAAAGTTAGGAGACTTTCTGTTTTAAAGTAGGTTAGTACTTTACGCACCTATAAAGCAACTGCTTCTGAGAGACTTATTACACAGTTCTTTAAGTAAGAAAGCCTGTTTGCTGTTTGCAAAGTCACTGAGACCCTGCACAACAGCTGCAAGAGCATTGTTCCTGGAATTTCATTGGAAAGATAATTTTAATCTGCAACTCATATCTAGGTTAATAAACATGCAATAAGGCAGATACAGGGAAGTTGTTCACTGTATACCTATCTCCTTTTCTTACTGAACATAAAGCATACCGTTATTGAACCTGTTCAATATTAGTTTAATTCTTACTCAAGAAAACCTTGTTCTGCCAGAATCTAGTCATTCTTTCCTCAGCTCCTTTATTGTCTTGCCTGAAGGCACACGTACATGCAACACAAACTTCAAAAGCTAAGACAAAACACCCTACAAAAGACAGGGCTGTAAAGGATGATGGAAATGGTTACAAAAGAAACAAAGCAGGCATAATACAAGTATTCTTAAAATAAAAAAGCAGCATTTATTACAAGATTACAATACATGCCAAAATAAAAGTATCTTTTAAACCACCGCGTATGTTTATAAATTTTATTTACAGGTTTTTCCTCCCATTTTAAAACTAGAATGTTTTTGTATTTGCATACACTGTTAAAAACAACAGTTTAAAAACATGATTCAGGAACAGAAACATACCATGAGGAAAATGGAACGCCGGGTTGAAGTGAAGCCATTCCAGCAGAAGTCAAGAGCGGAGAATGTTTTAACGGTTGAAAATTTAAAATTTTTTAAGAACAAGAACAAAACACTTAAAGACTAGCAATGCAAGCCTTCTTCTCTGTTTTTATAATACCACATCAAAGGTACACAGAAGACCCCAGTGATCACTAGGGAATCTGCCACAGTCTAGTTTTTCCAATCCAATTAAGTCCATACTTCGTGGAATAATATGTCCCTCTTGCGCTGCAGGCCGGAAGTAAACGCGGTCAAACCTCATCTTGCACTTGTAGGGTGCAGCCAGGTTGGTGTTGGAGTGGGTGTCCCAAGTATAGCGGCAGTGTTGAGGTTTACCCAGAAACTCCCAGATATCCATAACATTGTTAGGTAAATTACCCAGTTTAGTAATCTGAAAGTAGAAAGGGGAAAAAAAAAAAAAAGAAAATCTACCAGATACTGAATTCACAAATTTTACCTTCAAAACCAGAACTGAGTTGTCACGGTATTACTGTTTTCTATGAAACACGAGTGGTTAAAAACAAGATATTGGAGACATTTCAAAATTATGGTATTTCTCAGGATATTCTAAAGCATGACCAATTTTTTCTAAATCTAAAACATGTTACAAAATAAGCATTCAGCTCTGAGATTTTAAGGTACGGGGATGAACACTGTGTTCTCTGAAACAATGTCATTCCAGTTCACTGCAACGGAATTTCACAAAAGGGTAAGATGAAACACTGACCTTTTAGTAATAATGCACAAATTTCACTTTTAGTATCAGCAGCCAAAAACGACTTCTAATTTTGAATGTCTCTGTGATGGGGGATTAACTTTAGACTCCCAAAGTCTATTTCTCCAGAGCATCCTCTTCTTTTAACGATTCTACAAGCGCTAATCTCCAAGAATCGGAGAGTTGAGCAAATAAAGATCAGGTTCTCAAAGAGAAAAGATGCTTTTGAAGTCAAAACTTCATCAACTATGACTGCATCTTCTCAGATATAAATATTGCCAATAAAGCATTTTGTTATTGGGGGTGGGAGGCTGGGGGAAGCTCTTCATATAGATTAACTCAGCTATAACAATGGCTTGGGAGAGCCACGCTGCAGCTTCTTAGTCATGCTAGCACTGAATAAATGTTGCCTAACCCTGTTCTGCCTAAGCAGGTCATTTCTCATGAAGACAACAGAAAAGCCTGAGAAGATTTTGTCAGAATACCTTCTCAAAAAACCAAGGTTGCTTATTCCTATTTACCTCACTGTCCCTGAGGTTTGTATCCCCTCCAAATATAACAGTGGTGGACTCAGACTCCTCCTGCATTCTGTTTAACACTATTTGCAGTTGCTTCACACGCTCCTCAGAGTGGTTTTTAGTGCTCTCCAGATGAGAGGTCATAAGACAAAGTTCATTACCAGATATGCTCACCTGTGAGCAAAACAAAGAGGAAATGTTACTATCCACACCATGATAAGAAGTTCACAAACAAAAAATCTAATCACAAAGTAAATTACTGAATGACTGAACTCTGCTTAATATTAGTTTTACATTGAAGAAAAGTGGCTTACAGGAGGATAACAGGCTTTTAGTTTTGTTTTCAGACATTATGAGACTTGAAAATGAAGTACAGGCAGTAATTTATATAAAAGATTTGTTAGTATCAAATGCACCTGGGTTTGCATGTTTGGAGAAGTTTTTCTGCTGTTTGAGACTATCACATAGTAAAGTTAGTCCAGCCTTTCCTGGGATTTTTTGTTTCCAAGTCAGAAATACAGCTGTTTAGTACACACTGACTCACTCACATGCACAACCAAAAGGTTCCTCATCATGGAGGTTGTTGGAAAAGGTATTATCTCATGTTTCAGTAGCTTCACTCTTGATTTCTTCAGCATTATGACAGTGAAATAACCATCTATGTTACCTAAAGAGGAACAGGGAAAGAAATGGTTGAGGATGCATTCTGCCATGCCACACAGAAGGTTCTGAGAGACCTTTTTATTATGATCTGGGAGAATCATGTTAATTTGTAAGATGTACAAAGTCATTAGTTCAAAGTTTCATATTAGCGGTGTGAATTTTTCAGATTTTTTAAAGTGCAAATATTTAAGAAATTACTTATCTATGGCACTTTTTTTGCTACCGTGCTATCAGTCTTTCAAAACGCAGAAGAAATACAAAGGAGACCACCAGACAAGCAAGCTTTTCACATGCATAATTTGCATCAAACTATATCCTGATAGCAAACCAGAAAGTCATTTAAGTGCTTCCTTCTTCATTTTACTCTTTTCATTCCTACAAATGGTCAGAGGTTTTGGCAAGGCAGACAGAGTAAGACCAAATTTACTTTTTCCAGTTTCTGCCTTTCAAAATTGAGGGTTATTTCTTACCTGGAATAATAGTGTAACTGCTTGCTTTCATCTGTAGAAAACAGAGGTGTGGTGGGATGACCTCTTGTAAAAACACAACATCTGGATTGTATCTGAAACAGGCAAGACAAGATTTTAAATAAAGTACTAAAAGGTAGTACTGTTACGCTCTAAGGCCAGGGTTTTCAGGTGCACCTTGTCCTCATCTTTCCAGATGTTGCAGGAATCTGTTTTTTGAACAACGAAAAAACTCTCTCCATCATATTTAGTAGCATGTAGACATATCATCATTGTTAAAAGGGAAGAAATTTATTATTATGGACATGGAACTGACACGGTAACAAAATGCATCACTTCCTTACCTTGATCTTGCACGCATTTGCGCAGGTTTCATACACTACTTACATGAGGAGTTCAACCAAAGCAGCTGCAAAGCAGCTTTGGAACATGTTCTGCAACACCTAGCTTCTCCAGGAGATTCCAACCACCACCTCATTCCCTTACAACAGATTCCCTCAGGTAAATGAGGTCATTGATTTTCTCCAGTCTCATCAATGCCAAGCTCTTTTTATTTCTTAGAGCTATACAATCAGCAGCAGTTTGTGTGGGGCAGCAGTCATGAAAATGATGATTTAGACATGACTTTACAGCTGTCCCTATTTTAGCTACACTGCTGAATAGCCCTGCTCTAAGCAGGTGAAGGACAAACCTAAGGCTTCATTTACAGAAGAAAACTATTGTCATTCAAGGTTAATAAGTGAAAATTGATTTAGTTAAGGGGTTTCTGCTGTTGTAAGAGGAACTTAAAATATCGCTTGTTTAAATAATTTAATTTACACTGATAAATTACTGTATTAAGATAAATCTTGATGTGTGACTGCAATTTGAACAATACTGTTCATTATTAAAATGCTTTTTAAAGCAGCCATCACAAAATATTTAATCTTTGGGATGCTGCACAGGTTCACACCTCTTCCAAGCAGCATAGCAGCTATTTGGGATTTATTAAGTGATTGTATTGTTGCAACTCACATGAAGATAATTTGGGCATCAAGATTTCGTACACAACTGAAACAAGAAGCTTGTCTTCTCCTTTAAAGCAGGATACGTGACAATACAAAGACGAGACTATACTTACAATGTCAGGTAAGAACAGATTCCTCTAGCTCGTTCTTTTAGATTTCCTAGATCCAGCCCATCAATGTTCCAGGTTATCAGTGAGAAGCTGCTGTCATCTTCTTGTTGCCTCGAGTCTGCACTATTGACACTGGCATTACTTGTAGTTGCATCTGCTGTGAGGTCAATACTAAAGAGAGTAAGTAAACACTTGTTTGTCAACATGCATAATACTACTTTTCCTGCAATTACCTCCTTTATCGTCTAAAGAAAAGTGTTTTAGGTGCATCACAACTTATGGGTGCTCACCTAAAACATACCCAACAAATAAGTTAACATGTATTGATCTCAACATAATTTTAAAGTATAGTAACTAAAACATACAGTCATACAGAGTCTTCGTACACAGGCAAGGTAAGTGTTTTATCCTCCTCCTTATGGACAAAGATAACACCATTCTGATTTAAGTTAATCAGACAGTGACCTGTGTAACCCAAAACACTTGACTAATTCAACTCTTGTGATTCATCCCATGCAAGAAGCAGGCTGAGTGTATTAAGTTTTTCAAACCCACTCCAGCATATTAGAAACAAAGAACCGTAGCCAGGACTTGCTCTTATGTGCCCATCTTCGTAGTACAGTGAGATTCTTCCAATTGCTGAGCCCCCTGGGAAAGTACATGTGCAAACTCACCCTGTGACAAACTGATAGTCCTTTTCTTTGGAAATATTTTCCCCAAATCCCACCTCAAAAACACAGGCCTTGCCTACCCTGTTGATTCGATAAAGACTAAACAACACGGTCAAAGTTTGAGTGCCCAGTCTAGCAACTGTTTGCAGACTGTGCTGCTAAAGAGAACCAGACTCTACCTGCTAACACATGGTTGGTACTGGTTTTGGCTGGGATAGAGCTAATTTTCTTCATAGCATACCGTGCTGCATTCTGGACCTGTGACCAAAATAGTGTTGATAACACAGGGATGCATTAGCTGTTGTGAGCAGTGCTTACAGAACGTCACGGTGTTCTCTGCTTCTCCTGGTGTCCCACCAGCGAGTGGGCTCGGGTGGACAAGAGGCTGAGATGGGACACAGCTGGGACAGCTGACCCCAAATGACCAATGGGATATCCCATACTATACAACGTTGTGCTCAGCAATAAAAGCTGGAGGAAAGGAGAAGGAACAGAGAATGTTCAGGGTTACAACGTTTGCCCTCCCAGGTAACAGTTATGCATGATGGAGCCCTGCTGTCCTGGAGATGGCTGAACACCCACCTGCCCATGGGAAGCAGTGAATGAATTCCTTGGTTTGCTTTGTTTGTGTGCATGACTTGCTTTACCTATTAAACTGTTTTTATCTCAACCTACAAGTTTTCACACTTTCACCCTTCCAATTTTCTCCCCTACCTCACTGGGGAGAAGGGAGTAAGGGCCTGTGTGGGGCTGAGCTGCCAGTTGGGGTTAAACTACAACACTGATCCAATGTAAATTTCTTGAATAAAGGGAAAGTCTGCAACAAAATGCATTAAATGTTATAGCTAAGACAAGATAAACTACATTTTGGCAAAGTTGGGGTACTAGGATTTTGGTTTTAATCACAGAATTTGTATGCACACATGAAAATAAGGCCTGGAACCAAAACAAATCTATTCCCTAGAACTTAGTACTGGTTTTGTACTTGGTGCTGCATAAACAACATAAGATCCCACTACCATGCACACATAATCTAAACTGAACAGAAAAAGAAAAGCAGACAAAGGAGAAGTGGCTAAGGGATATTTAAGTAGGCAGGTAAGGTGGTGTATGCCTCCAACATTTCCATGATGACTTTTTGTATTTGTTCTGTCACCTGAAGGACTATGAGATGAAATATAAAGCCTGTGCAGTCTGCAGTGAACTTTCCCCAACTGGGACGTCTCCAAATAGTCCTCCCTTCCAACACATCCTGCATACAACAGCTCAACACAGAGCCCACGGTGCAAAGACAGACAGAGGCTGGAAAACAAAAATGGGCTGCCAATTTGATGCGGACATATTCTGACTCAGGATGGACTATAGACCAATGCTAATGTTCAGTACGCCTGTGTTTTTTCATACACAATAACAGCATACCTGGTTTTGCTTGATATGCAAATACAGCTTATTCCTAACAAAGATCACAAAGGCTCTTCTATATAACATGCAAGTCTGTGATAAGTAAATCTACAGGAAAAAAGCTTCCCTTGGGACTGTGAATGGCAGGGATCTGTAAAAGTTCAATTCCATGTGCCGTTCCATACCCTTGGTATGCCCAACCAGTATGCTCTGAGATCACCAGTGTAAAACACAGATCCTGACTTACACAGGTACATTTAGCAAGGTGTGCAGGTATGTGTCAATTTTATTTCTAGAAATATAAATATGCATACACCTAGTAGATGATATATGCGCACAGTTTACACATATACAAATGTGTATGGGTACAGTAGGATCTGCCTCTGTATTACTGCAAACGACACGACCAAGAACAGAAAATGACTTTGTCCCTTCCCCAAAAGGCTCACAATCTCCTAGCCCAGAGTCAGGTGGCTGAAGCACGCACCCATAGGAAGAGGCTGAGGGAGCTGGGGTTGTTCAGTCTGGAGAAGAGGAGGCTGAGGGGAGACCTTATCACTCTGTACAAGTACCTGACGGGGGGATGTAGAGAAGCGGGGGTCGGTCTTGTCTCCCAAGTCACAGGAGATAGGACAAAGGGAAATGGCCTCAAGTTGCACCAGGGGAGGTTTAGATTGGATATTAGGAAAAAATTCTTCACGGAAAGGGTTATCCAGCATTGGAATGGGCTGCCCAGGGAAGTGGCTGAGGCACCCTCCCTGGGGCTGTTCAAGACAGGTTGACATGGTCCTCAGGAATATGGTTTAGTGATTCTTTATTGCTTATTTCTTATTTATTTTTTTTGTCAGTTAGGTTGACTAGATGATCTTTACGGTCCCTTCCAACCTAGACTACTCTATTCTAAGTGGGGTCTGTAAGTCTGACAGCCTCTCAAAGGGGCTGCCCATTCCCCTCGAAGAGGGGAGCCTTGTGGAAGCTGCATGGAAACATAAACCTGAGGCAGGGGAACTACCTGCCTCACCACATGTCCCAGGTGCGAGGCCGGGCGGGGGAGAGCAGCGCTGCTCCCCAGGAGGGGAACGCCACGACCCTATCACCCCCCTCCCCGCCCCGGGGGTCACCCACCAGCTCCCGGTCCCCGTGCAGGCCGGCGGCACCTCCCCTGCCGCCTCCTCCTTCTCCAGCGGCGGATCGAAATAGGCGTTCAGCGCCCTCTGAAACACAAGAGGCAGGTGGCAGGGATAGAGGGCTGCCGGGGCAGTCCCGCGTCCCCCCGGGCCGCCGCCCCCGGGCCTACCTCTATCTGCCAGTCGTTGCTGGCCAAGAAGCGTCGTGCCACCGCCGCGTCGCTGCTGGTGATGGCGGCGAACTCGGAGCACAGCACCTTCCTCCGCTTGGCGAGGTGCAATGCTTCCTCCTCCTCCTCTTCTTTCGCTTTTTCCTCCTCCTCCTGCCCCGCCTGCGGGCACCGATCCTCCTCCTCACCATCATCACCATCCTCCTCCTCCCGCCGCCGCCGCCTCCCCGCCGCCTCCATGGCTACCCCGGAAGGCCGTGGGGAAGCCCCGCCCGCTGGGGTTGGCGTTCCGGGGCGCCAACTGTCTGTCTGTCTGTCTGTCTGTCTGTCTGGGTGGCCGCCGGCCGGGCAGGCAGCATGGGGTTCACGCTGGAGAGCCTGAGGGAGGCCATGAAGTACATGGTGGAGTCGCAGGGCTTCGACCGGGTGCTCCGCAAGGTACGGGCGGGGCGGGGGCGGCCCTTAACGGCACCAACGGCTTGTGAGAGGGGAGGCGGCGGCGGGCCGCTCCAGGTGGGGCTGCTCGTTTAAAGGCCGCTTTTCCCCCAACCCCCGTCTCCCAGAAGGGAGTTGAGTGAGGTGCCTTCCCCCACCGGGCCGGGCCGGGCCGGGCCGGGGCAGGCCGAGGCCTGCGGTGCGTTCTCCGGGCCGCCATGGCCCGGCCTGGGACCCCTCGGGAGCCCGGCCGTGCAGACATACCCCTCTTTATCCTTGGATTCGGGATTTCCCGGCAGGGGTGTGGGGCCGTAACGCATGGTAGAAAGCACAGTTGTTATTCGATAACTCTTTAAACGCTAAAGCTGCCTTCCCGTACCCCTGTGAAGACAAGGATTGTGCTGAGTAGCTTTCCACGAGTTATTTAGTAACTAATAGTCACCCCTTCTTAATACCTGTGGCTAAGCCAACTTTCAGGACTGGGAAATTATGAAAAAAAACCTGTTACACCTCTCTGTTTAAAAGTAAAAAAGTAGCTCGTTATAACATCTGACATTTCACCTTGAAGTCAGACCAAAAACATGAGCACCGAAGTGCCCTAACAAGGCTCAGTATGAAGAAATGTATTTGACTGGTACGACTCACTTAATGCTACATTATGATCAAAAAAAGTTGAAATGACGTTACAGTGTCGTCTGAAATTGTGTAGTGTGCAGTAGTGTGGCTGGTGTGTCCTTGAGCTCCTGGGTAGAGTGGTCCTGTGAAGCAGTATTGGTGTTCCCACCAACTTTTGCAGCACTGGAATTCTGCATTTGATTTCCATTTATTTGTGCAACCATGACATGGAGAGAAGCAGTAAATACATCTAAGGAAACCAACCGTTTTAAAATGTATGTGGTTTGCATTGTAGAGGAGCAAGCAGTGCTTTCACTGACAACTCCATGATACAGTAATTTAATAGAAAGTAACTATTTGCAAAGCAACTACTATTATTTTGTTTCCCCAAGACATTTTGGTCTGATATATAAAAAAATATAAAGGTTTAAGTTCATGAAGTTCATTTATTTATAAAGAGTCCAATTAGTTCTTAGTCACTTCCTTACTGTGGTAACTTTACTGTCCTTCACCTTAAAATCTGACTAAGTGGAGAACAAATGCAACATTTCATCCCATAAAGGAAAGGGGCCTTGGGAGACAAGCTTCCTACCTTGCTCTGAAATACTTTCTGACTTTTTCTGCAATCTCTTTCTAGAAGTATGATGCCATTAGCACAATCATCATAACAGTAAAAGTACAGTTTTGTTTGAATTTAAAGCGTCTGCTGTTTTTCTGGGAGATACCTGAAGCCCTTCTTACCTTAATTAAATATGACTCAAGACTTTTCCTGTACTGGAAGAGACGGATTTTAGTCTGAAACTTTTCAGCTCCAGCATCAGACTTTGTTTCTGGTTTAATTCCAATATGGTATCTACATAGGGCTTAACGACTGTGGGTTTTAAAGCCCTTTCTCCAAAGAAGTAGTGCATCGCAGTAGTGGCTGGAAGCAGAATCAGCATAATGTTCACCGAGACAGAGGCACAGGAGGACAAGAACAGAAGGGCCATGAGAAAAGAGGTACAGACTAGCAGCTCTGGCTGTGTAAGTCCTGGAAGCATTCACATTCTGAACTATTTTTGTCAAGGAGAGCAGGCAGCTAGTGCCAGATCAGAGCAATGACAAGTGAAACCAGATGCTTTCCTTGCCTTGCTGATGGATTAGAGCACTCCCTGACGGGACTGGAAGCCATCTGCTCCCAGTGTCAAGCGTCAGTGAAGTCCTCATTGGAAATTCTGTCAGAAACTTAAACTTTCCGTCAGCGCAGCACAGCATGCCTGGTTTAGGACTTGGGATTTTCATTGATCAAGGTGCTATTTTTGTATTAAGACACTGCCTTGGCAATTTCCCCTCTGCTTAATTCCAGCTTTTCCCATTCGTAGTTGAACTGTGTACTACATCACCATTTATCTTAGTATCATTTCTCTGCAAAATTTGAATAAACTTTGGCCTGTCAGAAAGGGACACTGCTGAAACTGAGCTTTTACACTGCATTGTAAATAAGCAATAGTGAAACTGGAGACATTTCAATCTTAATTTCTGTTAAGACTAAAAGACGCAAGTCAGCTCAGCTGATATGATATGGAAACATTTAAGTTAAAAAAACTTTGTAAAAAAATCAGAAAATTAGTAGGAATTATAATAAATATTATGCCCACATTTCACTTGTGACAGTCTAAAGGTACTTCAAAGTGTTAGTTGTAGGTGTAAATACATATGCTGAACTGATCCCGGTTACACAACTGCTTTCAGATTTTCAGTATAGTGGTATATTAACTGAAGAAACTTGAAAAAAATATTTTAAAATACCGAAATGCAGTAACTTCCTTGTCTCAAAAATCCAGCTTCTCGTCTTGGTTACAGGGGGAAGCACAGTACCATAGATGTACGGTAATTTTCTATTTAATGCTGAAATAAAAGCATATATGCAAGTCATGATGCTGTAATACAGTGTGATGCACCTGTAGATACTTCTACCCAGGAATATGAATTTCAGTTCAGGAAGGCCAATCTGATTAGCATCTACAGTGCTCATTTCAAGATACTGATTTTTACTGAGGTTGCTGTACTATAGTGATTAATGAATTACTGCCAGTTACGTTTCCATTTGGTGAGCTAACAAATACACCTTCGCAACTGTAGTACACACAGATAGTCAGAGCAGTTTTGTTTTCCTTCCAATCTGGCTTTTCAGTCACAGATTAAAGCAAAAGGCAGATTGAAGAATGTTGCTCCTAAGCAATTCCTGAGAGCACGGCAAGTATTGAAGTTTTATTAAACTGTTGGTTTAAACATTTATCTGCACTAGAAGTACAATTTTTTCTAAGGCAACGATCTTCTGCTCAGAGTTTATGGAAATACCTAATGTGACAATTGAATTGCTGTATTTTCCATCTTCTAATTTGTCTCATAAATCCAGAATTAAACAAGATTTACTTTCAGTTTTATTCAGGGCGGTATCGGGTGTTGGTACTGTCATTAAGCTTTTTATTCCTTTTTTGGTTGGACAGATGAAACTTCTTTCTGCAACTCCTGGAAAAGTTGTTTGTGAAATGAAAGTAGAGGAGGAGCATACAAACAGAGGTGGCACACTACATGGAGGCTTGACAGCCACACTTGTGGATGTGGTGTCAACAACAGCGTTGCTGTACACAGAAAGAGCACTGCCTGGGGTCAGTGTGGACATGAACATCACGTAGGTATCACCCACCGTGGTTACCAGAACTTTTCTTCCCCTAACACGGTACTAACTCCATTGTACTTCAATTCTGTGCTGTAGTACTCACTTTAAAAAGGTGTTTTCTTTTTCAGAAGTCTTGTTTTGGTAAATTAAGGGGGGATTGCATTTAAGGATATTGCTGTTTGGTTGCAAAATTCAAGTTGGACTTTCTTAAGCTTTTATTTGTTTATTAAGAGACGGTACCTATTCATTCATAGAATATAAAGGGATGTTCATGTGGTAAATTTTAGTCTTACGATATTGGCTCAACTTCTGGTTTTGCCTGTGAAGGTATGTTAGAATGTGTCCTCAGACGCCAAAATCAAGCAGGGTTCTGTAAACCCTTTTTTAGTATCAGTCCATAAAATGTTAAAGCAGGAAAAATATTAAAAGAGTAAACTGTTAGCTCTGTTGCATGCTCACGTAGACCTTGAATTACAGATTGAATTGAACTTCTCACTGGAGGAAGATTCCTTTGCTCCAGGTCATTTGAAGGTAGTTTTATACTGAAAATAGTTCCTCCTATAATGCAAATTTAAAGCACAGTGTCTATCAAAAAGAAAAAAAAAGCTCTTCCAAGACCAACTTCTTTGATCATGCTATTATAGCTTGTCAGCTTTGCTTCATTACTTTTAATGAAGAGATTATGACTGGTTGGAACTAAAGTAATCCTACTTGGAATAACTTACACAGAGCATTAAAAATCTTGGAAAAGTAACTCATCAAAACTGTCTTAAAAAAAACAACAAAAAAACCAAACCCAAACTTTACAAGCGTGCAGGGAGTGATCTCTATCTTTACCAGGTTCTCTCTTTTACCCCCCAACACCTTGTGATTTCTCCACTGAGCAGGTGGGACTGGATTATCTATTTAAGCTTTATACTACTTCTGTCATAACCAGGAAATTACTGGAAATTAAAACCCGAAATTCTCCTATGATTATGGTTGGGTTTTTTCCCTACAGCAGTATCACAAGAGGCCAACTTCTGAATTATTTACACTGTCAAGTATGCCTACCTAATTACAAGCCCCTACAAGGGCTAAAATCTTAAGAAACTGCTATCTCTGGCGGTGATCCAAAGTGATTGAGTAGCATAACCTTTAGGAATTGTTATTTGAAGCAGTATTAATAGCTTTGTTTAACCCAGACTACTGCTTTCATTGAACAAGTGATATTGGATGTCAAATATTGCTATAATACAACTTTTTCCTTTTGGGGAAAGAGCTTTTAAAAAAGTTATCCCAAGAAGGCTATTTCAGTAATGGAAAGAACAGAGAGAGAAACAGAGAAACCTTTTTTTTTTTTTTTTTAAATCAATAGAGGATCAGAAGCAGCCTCTGAGAATGATCCAAGATTGAAACCCTGCCCCTTGTCAACTGATGGGGTTTGTGCTACATCAGCATTAGGCGTGACTGACATACTTTTGACATGGTGTCATGTATAAAAATGGACTGGTTGATGAAATTTATCTCAATAAGATTTATATCCAGCTGTTGTATATTCTCCTCTGTAATTCCCACATTTGAATATTGTTCCCTTACCTCAGCTCATGGTTGGATCATATTGCTCCTAATTCTTTCCAGGCGTTTTGTTGGGGAATTTCTTCCTATTCCCTGGAGAGTGTATATTAAAAGCAGAGCCTCCTACTCACTTACATAAAAAAAGAGAGTTATCTAATGAATGGAAACAGCATTAAACCTGGGAAGTTTGAAGGCCTCCCAGATTTCCATGACTTTTCTCTGACCGGAGTATGGGAAGCAGTTAACCTATGCTTAGATTCCATGTAGAAATGACCTTCCAGAGCCTTTGTAACGGAGACATTTTGCAGCTGAACCAGCCAGACTGGTTTAGAAAGGCTGTAGGGATCCAGCAGTGACTGAAATAGGACTTAGAGCTGAACTTTTAACTGAGATCTTTGATACCCGATTGTTTCTCTTCCAAAATGGAGCAGAACTTGGTTCCTCAGAACCAAGCCAATGGGTGTCTTTCTATCCTCCGTTTTCTCAGGGAGCTCTTGTACTGAATTACCATTGCAGAACACAGAAGAACTCAAGGACTTCTAAGAAGTGGGGATTTGCAAGCAGGCAGTTACAGAGAGATGTGTCTTTTTTTTTTTTTTTTTTTTTTTTTTTTTTTTTTTTTTTTTTTTTTTTTGCTAATTCCCTTCATGATAATCTAAAATGCAGGACTATTCTTGGATTTGTGCTCTGTACAGCCTCTTACCCTGTTCATTTTGTTCTTCATTGAAGATATACTTCTGCTGCTAAGATTGGAGAAGAGATACTGATTACAGCTCAGATTTTGAAGCAAGGAAGAAATCTTGCATTTGCCACCGTGGATTTAACAAATAAGGCGACAGGGAAGTTAATTGCACAAGGTAGACATACCAAGTATCTAGGAAATTAATATAAGAAAGTAATTTAAAAAATTATAATGTTGGGCTTAAGAAGATTTTCTCACTTATGTAATAAGACATCATCTGCACAAAGTTATGATAGTCTGTATGAAGTGAATTAGTCTCACTCCCATAATAAACGAACAAATTTCTTGATTACCATCAAAATTGCTGCAAGCCTGAAACTGGCACTTATTTTGGGATGAGCAACAGAGTGTGACAGCACGGGGATGCGTCTATTATTTTCTTTTCATCAATGCAGCAGAAAGAGCCCTAGGACCAGCCATATGGTTTAACAGCATGACAGTGTTTTAAGAGATCTCTGTTTTCCTTGCCTGTGGTGTCATCATGTGACAAAGCAACCGTGTCTTCAGGCCCATCACCGTCACGTTCAAACACTGTGTACAGTTAAAAACTAACCCACTTGTTCTGTGAGATGGTAGTACAGAGTTACTGTAACAGTGTGTGAAACCGGCTTCAAAGTGTAAAGCAGGCCAATACAGAATGTAATTTACTGATGCTGTAACAAATTCAAAATTATGCAATAAAGCTTTCTGAAACTACCTTTTTAAAAATGACTTGATAGTTTTGTGATATCTCTGCACTGAGTAAAAGCTTCTGAGCATGGAGTGGTTGAGAGAGGCTGTGGTGGAACCCTTATACACGAATTCACCTGAGATTTCATCATCATCTCCTTGTGATTCCTGAATGTGAACAGGCAGTTACATCACCAGGGCTTTTCACCTCTACCTACCTGAAGTTCTGGCTATATTTGTTTAAAAATCATCAGCTGAGAGTTAAGAGACATACCTAAATAAGTTTGGTGAGCCTTTCATCAGGCAAAGGCTGTTGATTGTCTGACTTAGGTGTGAGTGTGGTAGTTAAGCTGCTGAATTAATTCATCAGCTGAAGACTTGTCTCCTCATGCACTGCTGTGGGCAGGTTTAACTGCTTTCTTCAGATCTTGGAAAGGCTGTCACACTGTAATAAAAACAGTGATGCTACATTTCCACATTTACATAAACCATGACCTTAGTTTTTCTTCTCTAGTGGGAGATTTGAAAGTTAATCTACACTCATAAAGGGCACTCATAATTCTTTTTGTCATAGAAATTGACTCACTGTTTTAGTGATGTGAATTTTGTGATTAAATGTGCAGTAGGGCATTTTTTGTGCATTCCTAAACCTAAAGAAGTAATTTCCAGTGAGCTGTGACCCCTTCATGCAGACTGATTTTCAGTATGAAGTATATTGGAAATCTTTCCAAAATTACTTTCCAACGAGTGATATAGCTGATAACTTACACTTCAATGGAAGTTCTCTAAAAAAAAATAAAAAAATACCAGCATGTATTTTTGCTGCGAGCTTAGAACAGCTGTTTGTGGTACAGACAGTCTCAACAGAAGCTTTTTCTCTAATGCTGCCTCAGAAGTACACAGCTTACATGCCTGTGGCTAGTTGAACTTTTGGTAGCCTTCACCTTGTAAGAGGTCAAGGAAATAGAAGTAAGGATTCAAACAGCTCCCCAACTATGATAAAGCCACCCCCCTCACTGGAACACAAGAGTGCCTTTGACTGTTATCTGAAATAAAAGGCAGAGGATGACAATGAAGGAGGTGCTGAATTCAATACGTGCCAGAAGATTCAGAAAGCTCTCAGCTGTGTGTGCTGGGACAACCCTGTCCTGCTGTAACTCTCCCACTGCAATGTAACATGGCTTCCCTCATCAAAGCCAGCTGCATGGGGAACCTGCCATAGTTAAGTGGTCTCATTCTATCACTTACCGTTTGTCATATCTACATAATTAAAACTGAAGAGTGCCCAGGCAAATTAAGAGTGGCAAACCTCAACATAGAAACAACAGTATCCTCCTGTTCCCATTCCAGCCTGGCAAGGACTATTGCAAGCTGAGAGAGAAACAAAAAAAACCAACCCCTTCCTGAAGTAACAAGTGAATTCTCTTCTCCCTTGTACCAGACTATTCAACACAGTATTTTAGTGCTGCCTAATTAATTAGAAAGAGGGACATCATTAATATGCAGGCCAGTTATTTTAGAAATGGTTCATTAAAGTGCCTATTTTAAGGCAACCTTGTGTGTTATCCCTCCAGCAGCAGCAGCATGCCGACCTCATAATTTATTTCACACTTGGAGATGATTGTCAAAGTAACTGTCACCATTGAGCTTGCTTAATGATTTGGGAGTAAAGATTTGGGAGTAAACTCAAACATCAGACTTAATATTTGGAAGTGTTCTTTACTCGTTTTGCCCTAACCTACACGTTGAAAAGCCTGTATCTTACCTGAGTCTGAAGGAAGGGAAAACAATCACCGCAGTAAGGACAAATGGCACATGGTTCCACCTGGCAGCAGAACAAAGAGATGTCCTGTGGGGCTGACCTGGTTCCATCACCACAGATTTCAGCATAATTCCCTTGCAAGCAAGCAAATAAAGTGACTTGATGAGATCACCTTTGAGTCTTAGTAGTATACCAGATTACATACCCAGTAACTGACAAATATCTGTAAGATCCGTATCTTACAGCTGCAAATGAGAATCTCCATCCCATGTTGTGCTGGTTTGCTTGGTTTGGGGTTTTTTTAATTTTTTTTTTTTTTTAAACACACTAAGCACCTAAACCATACTTCCTTAGTGTCTCGAGATCTGTCCCCCTGGAGGGCCACACTTTTCATACCGTGTTATGTGACAAGTTGTGGAACAGTTTGTTGCTACTAGTGAAAGTAACTGAAGCTTTTCCACTTCGTGCATCAGCCAAGCCGTGTTCACGTCACTACTGGTGCCCAAATGCACTCACACTGACAGCCAGGTACTTGCACCATGGTGGGACTGTGCATTGCAGGTCCCTTGAGAAAATGAGGAATCCGAACCAAATCCACTGGCATTTAAAACCCAAGAATCCAGATACTAATCAGGGCACATAACGATGGCAGATTAAGGTGCTGTGAAGAGGGGTGTAGTCATTCAGGATTCCAGCTCTCGGGAAGAAGCAACTCGTCAGTGATAAACTGGGGAGAGGAGAGGGTAAGGAAGGACATCGCTGCTGAAACAAGCGTTAAACTATCAGGACTCCTGGCTGGTCTTTCAGCTTGAGCCACCTGTCACAGGGGTCTCATGGCTGAGCTGCTTTACCTCGGTTACTCTGCCAATTTAATTACAAGCTAGTTGGTTTACAATTCTCGAATTGGCAAGCACCACCACCTAAAGGGGAGGGGGGGAGGAGGGGGAGTAGGGAGAATTAGGCTGTTAAGTAACTGTTCCCAACAGCAGTTCCGTTCAGCTTCAGTGACTGGCTCCGAGCCACTGCCAGGGCATATGGAAGAATTTCCAACTGCCTTTTATCACTAACCATTTTAGAATTCTCTATCTGCAGAAACCATTTAGCTAGTCTAAAGAAACCCCCAAACCCTTCCCTTACCTCGCTGTCCATGGGAATGAAGAAAAAAACCACTCTGATTCCTATTTTGCTACCTAAGAGTCCGGGGATAACATGATGACCGTTACTACCTTTGTGACCCTGTAATGTACTCACTGAATGACTGTTATTAGCAGATCCCCTGGTCCCAAGCTGCCACGGTTGTTGGGACACTGCAGAATATAGTTATGGCCTAACCCAGCACAAATCACCTGCAAGCTCCAATCCAACAAGACACACTGGCTATCCTCCAGAAAAAAAAAAAAAACACCACCAACAAAAAAAACCTTACCCAAGCCACCAAGCCTACTTTTGTTCACCAGAACTGAACAACTTTTGTTCACCAAAACAGTATGTGGGGCTGTACTACTGCAGTAAGATTCTGGACCTTTTCATTTCTTTTACTTAAAAGCAGTAGCTGCTTGAACAGATTTTAAAATCTATTTCAAGAGTCCAGAAAAGCAGCTTGTAGAGTGGGTGCTCTAGCATGCAGTAATTGTGCTCAAATTAAGAGACCTTTCCATATGTAAATCCTTTCCAAGCAGAAGTAGGTCATAGATGTCTTCAGCCCTAAAAAGCATTTCAGTCAGCCATGCAGAACAGAAATTAGGCTTATCAACTTCGCTTGCTCCAGTTAACCTGTAGAGCTGATGCACTCCTCCACATCAGCCTCGGGAACTCCCAGCTGCAGTGCCCAAATGGGAAAGCAGCACCCACTTCTGTAAATGGACCGTGTTTTCCTCCTTAGTGTTCCTGACAGCAGAGTCCATCTGTACTCCAAGAGCACCGCACCAAGGAAGATTTAAACACCAAACTGCTAGAAAGCACCCAGTCCCTGTGCACCACAGCAGGGCAAGAGCTAAGGGAACTTCCAGTTCCACCACAGAGGCACTCTCTGCTCCTTTTAACTCGCAGTCATGCTGCTCTCCTGCAGCAAAGCAAAGCAGTCTGGCAGGTACAAAAGACATCAGCGACAAGCTGAGGCCTTGCTCTCACACCACCAGCACAGCATCAAGTGGTACAGGTGCAAACAAAGGCCAAACCTTACAGAGAAATGTCCTTTTTCTGTGCTAATGACACTAAGGGACAAGTAATAACTATTGGCCTTATGGTCTGGGAAAGGGTGGTTCGTATGTAAAGATTACTAATATGAAAAGCTCATTTATTCCACAAAAGGAGTGCTAGAATAAACACCACTCAGGCTAGTGCCATGCCTCAAACACCCATGCTAAACTTAATATTTGTACTAGCAGTTTTGTCCATCTCGCCATGTTTTTGGTAACAATCAGGCAATGGAAGAAGCCTGACAAGTGAAGGGAAACTACAGCCATGTACAGGCTATGATATTTAAGTAGTTATCTCCTCACCGTCTCAGAAACACCTGACACAAGCTTCCCTTCACCAGACACTTCACTTAGATGCAAGACATTTAATGGGCCTCTGTCAACTTCATTTTGCTGCCTCCAATCCCTGCCCCATTCACACTTGCCAAGTTCACATGACAAACCCTCAAGCAATAGCCTGCTAAAACTCCCATATTCAGGCAAGACATTAAGTGTATTTCAGTTCTAGGTATTAGTATATCCAAAGGAGTCACAGAAGTAGCCGAGAGCAGGTAATAACCAAAATTCTGTCTTATACAATAGGCCATTTTGTATTTAGAAACAGCTCCACCGAACAAACTAATGAGGCTTGAAGTCACACACTGTGCTTTGTAAACATTAGTTTTGTGAGAGAAAACTTCTAAGTGTAGCCTACCAAAAAGTCACTAAAGTGATATAAAGAGGGCCTGAACCCAAAAGCTATTGTAAACTGCTCCCACTCGCTTCTGAAGGGTGCTTTGCTGAAGTAACTTGGAAGAACATTCTGAGATTGAACTAGAGGTGCCATGGAGATTTGAATTTCATCTTTTCCCTCGAAAGTCATCATGTTGGAGAGCCACCTTTCAAAGATGCCAAATGATTTAAGAACAAACTCTCCTACACTCTCTGAGATTCTCATGCTCTGAAGCCTGTTGTTCCCCTTCATCTCCCTCTCCACCCCAGCCCAAGCTTACACAATGCAGATGGCTATCAACTCAATCCGATAGCACAGCAAAAGCATAACATTCGTTACCTGGGCAAAATAGACCACATTTACCAAAATT